CGTCAGTTCGTCGGAGGGATCGTTTTCTTTGTCGTACGCAGCCATCTTCGTCTTCATGTACTTGGTGGTCACCCGCATCAGTGACGTCAGCGCCTTGGCAACGTCGTCGTCTTGCTTTCGCTTTCGTTTGCCTCGATTGCTCTTGCAAGCACCCCCTCGAATGCGTTTGATCCTGTCCACGCGCTCGTGATGGGTTGGGGGGAGGCTTGTGCGAATCGTTACTCCTTCTCCATTGCTTGAAGGCCTCATCGATTGTGCAGTACCGGTCGATGTTGTAACAGATTGCTCATCTTCATCACTGGAGTCATGACTCGCTTCCAAGTCGCGTAGCCCTGCTGCCAAAGCTGTCACAGTAGTTGCGTGGGATCCGGTAGCACGAGCATCCCCTGAACCAATAAATACCAGCGTAACATTAGAAATGCCAGAAACAATGGTGCATGCAAACCTTACCGGCAATCAGGGAACAGATCGTCGCGTGTGGGAATCCATTTTGCCGAAATGCTGTGAGTTTGGCACGTTGCTTCGGTTTTGACTCCAGAAGTTGCCCCCACACGTCATCATCCATCATCGGTTTGCCAGTGTCAGGACATACGCCGACCCCACTCAAGCTAGTGATGTACTTGTACAGGTCGTAATCTTGCATAAGTCTCGTGTATTTGGACTTGTATTGACCTAAAAAAGTGCAAACGATACATACAAAAGCCACCGATGCATACCCAGCATTAGAACGAGTATACGGAAACCGTGAGGCTACCTCTATATACCTTTTTCGAGAGTTCGCCCGTGCTTCTTGTTTAGGGCCGACACCAGAGTGCTCCATGCCTTCGACTTAATGCCTTTGTCTGTCGCCATTGAGCGATCGTTCCTGGCATCCAGAAACTTGTCAAGCAAGTCATGCTCCTCCATTTCAGTCCATGAAGCCCTCGCAGTACTGCCATTGGCATTGCTGGTGGTTGTAGCGTTGGCCATGACAGGCAGACATTTGAGTTCTCGAGGGCGGAAGTGGGAGTGGCAGTGAAATCTATCTTTAGTGGGTTGTCATTCGCTCGAGGGGAAACCCCCTGCTTCAGTGCCTCTCGCTCAAAATGGCGGGTAAAATTCTGCTCTCCCCCTGAATTTCACAATCATGTTAAAAATGCTGTTACCGAGAGATAATGCGATTCTCAGCTATTTGTGTTCGATGCCGAGATTTTGCTCTGGAATCGTATTATCACCTCAAAATGACATTATCGCAGCATGTCGAACACGGCCTAAACCATTAGAGACAATATCGCTCTATTCGAGAGCGAGCTGATGGGTATGAACGCTCGCTGGTACGGCATCACCGAAGCCAAGAAGGGCACAGCACTTACCGCCAGACACAAGACAAAAACTATAGCGATTAAAGTTTTTGCATTGCGCGATTCCTTTGCAGCGAGTTTAGTTAAATCTTCTCGTGAGGCGGAAAGAGAAACACAGCCAATAAATTTTTGAAATCCATTTTCCATCAAAGGAGCGGGCTATTAACGCCAAGAAGAACTTTCCTAACTTCAAATCGAGCCATATTTAAGCAAAACAAATTGGGTAGTACGAAAGTTGTGTACAAGTATACGTTGACCCGAACAAAGAAGTACCCCGAAGACTTCGTTTTAACGAATAAAAAAAAACAGAGAATCATCAACGATTTCAGCGAAATATAGGTAAAAAAATCGATTCTTCAACGAGTCACCAGACTTACAAAAGTTATTTTGCTGTCCCCGGCCGCTGTAATAAGATTGCTTAGGCCGTTCAGCCAGCTAAAGCTGTCCTCCCTGTAAAACTGACTAAAGCTGAACGCTGAACACGATCGGTTCTCCTGTTCCGGCCAATTTTTGCTGGAAAGTGCTCGAGTTGAGAAGCGCCACCTCGAACACACCCTCAGTTCCCAATGGTGCAGCGATCGTCGAACTGAGAATGTTGCTATCGGTTTTCTCCCACCCGGCCGTCAGTGCGCCGTACGGGGTGCTTACAGTTGCATTAGCGCTCGTGATGTTCAGCCCTGTTACCATTGGGTTCACTATCCAGTGGCGGAACCCGAACACCAGAGGACGAATACCTGCAACGTAGTTGGTCAAAACATATGTAGGAGCTCCACCCCACGGATGGCTCAACGACGTGAACTCTTTGAGTCCGGGTTCCAGGGACTGCGAAACGTACTCCCAACTTGCTCCGGAACGATAATACTCGTTCGAGATCATGGCGTCCCACAGATTGTCAAGCAAAAAAGCAGCCTCATTTGTGTGTCCAGTCTGTAGTAGTGCGTCCAGAAGGAACCCGTTCGTGTTGGGTGAGATCTTGGAACTATTATCCGTAACACTCGTGTCGATGTATCCGGGGCCTCGACGAAGGTTTTCCAAACTCTTCACGCAAATGTCAGTTTGAGTCTCGTTTGCCACCCCAGAAGTAATCGCGAAAGCGATAGCCGAGACTCCATAGACCTGGGGAGTCGATGCATCGACGGCGTAGTTGCCCAACGTGTCGTCCCAGAGCAGATCATTCATCGCAGTTTTGATACTGGAGGCTACTTCGACCCATTGGTTAGCGGAAGCTTCGTCTCCTATTGACTTGGCTACCTTGGCCATACCATTGAGACATTGGACAGCAGCAGCGTTCACAGCAGTACCGGTACCTGAGCCCAGAAACACGGCCACGTACTTCGTGACATCGATAAGTCCGTTGCTATCTCGGCAGCTTACTAACCAAGCAGTAGCTTTTTGCAGCGACTCCCAGTTAGCCTTCGCGAACTCCACATCGTCATAATACTCCATGTACGACACGAACCCGATCAGCCCCAAAATGTCGTAGTCGGGGAAATTCAAGTATGCGTCACTCGTGCCAGCGTTAAACATAAAGACTTCAGGCGTGGGCATTGGAGTCTCGTACGTCATGGTCATTAGGCCTGGAAATTGCCCATTTGAAGCCTGGTAATCAAAAAGATACTTCCAAGTGCCTGTTATCTGTTCAGGTTTTGAGTTGGCAACGCCCATGATGCGAGTGGTGTGGTAGAAGTCGCCTAACCAAATGTATCGGTCACGTTTTGCCCCATCAAGGCACGCGGCGTACGTATTAGACTGCACGCCGAACTCCGGTAGTACTACGCTTTCGTCTGTCATCGGGTTCGTGTAGAGCGTCTTGGACGAGTCATTCAGACTCGTGGCTTTCACGTTACGAACATAGGATGCCTGGTCTTGCCAGCCACCAAAGCCGATAGCACCTTTCCCAGTCGTCGAGTAACCTAGGAGCGAGAGTTTCACTGAAGCCCATGTCAGAGATCGTCATGTCCATCACTTGTCGGTTATCCAGCCACACGACCAAGTTCCCAGCAGTCGAGCTCACAGCAATTTTCACACGATACCACACATGTTCCTTCACGTCGAAAGGCACACGAGACGTACCAAGGACGTAACTTGTCATGTCTGTGGCGTTGACAAAGTCGAAGCCATACGTAAGGGTCAGTGTGCTGGGTGGAAATAAAGTCGTGTTGATGTTCACGTACGTTGAGTCAGCGGGATATTCCGATGACAAGTGGAACATGAGCGATCCTCGGTTCGCTGTGATGTCATAGCCAATGTAAAATCCGAGGCCCCCGCGGATGATTTGGCTCTCAAACCCGAGTGTGTAATCGCTCAGATTCCACGCTTTATACGACACTCCCGGTCGTGGATTAGGTACAAATGTGCCGTTCTCTTCGGACACACGCCAAGACGACACTTGACTACCAGCATCCAGACAAGCAGCGCTTACTGCGCGTGCACCGAGTTTCCAAATCTCGTTATACTTGGCGTTGGAACTCGAAAATTGGCCCGGAAGCGTGGACAGATCATCAATCACTTCAACTGAGGCTTGAAGACCGACATTTGAGAATATGATGGAGTCGCCACTCAGCAAACGCAGAGTCTGCCAACGTTGACCGGGTTGGCTTAACATGGACGTCACCGTCACATTGATCTCCTTCTCCGTAAAGCGGTGCGTCTCTACGCGGCGCGAGTTTGCGACGGCGGTGGCGTATTGCGAGGGTCCGTCCGAGAAGTTGGTGGAAAGTACGGAAAACTGCTCCGAGTATTTGACTTCTACGTCCACAGGTCCGTTGGAAACGGAGGACACAACGAAGTACGGCAGGCCTGCAACTTCGTAGTCGTAGTCGAGAGTTGCGACGGGGTTTCCAGCTGTGAGCGTGATGCCGCCGGCATATGCGCTGGATCCCAGTGTGGGTTCCGTTCCTAGCGCAAGTTTCTTGGGTGTGAAGACCGTAGTCGTTGCTTGCTCCCACCAAATAACTGCAGGCTAACAACACTGAAGTGGTCACTGCCAACCCTCGCATACTGAATTGCATCGGGACCGGAAGTTACGTGTACTCGAGTACTCCAGACGGGAAATGAACTGTGGCTGGCCACGTGAAATGATGTTTCCTCCTTCACCATGGTTGAAGTGCAAGGATTTGCAGCGTAGGTGTCTTGACACTCTCGACCAGTGAATTTTACTGTGAATCACTGGCACTGCCACTGGCAGTGCCAGTGGCAGTGATTTACAAGCAAGTTGAAGTAGCACCCAAGCATAATCCGTTGAACACCGTACACGTACTGTACACAGTCTGTACAGCCTGTCTCTGTTCTTGTCACCGACTCGATACGAACCCGCGGACACTCGCCCACTAAAATTTATCAGCTGGCCGCTCCAATTTGGAATCCAAACCTCAAGCATGGCTTGTGAACGAGACAACAGACTCTAGCTCTACGTGTAGTCCTCTAAGAACCGCGTACAGTAAAGATACTCTTTCTATTTTTTTAATACACTTGCAGTATGCAAGTATTTAGCGCAGAGCGAGTAGCAATAGTCACTGTTAGGTGACAGATAGAACGAAGCCTACGAGCGTTAGTGGAGTGAGGAAGGCTGCTCAGCAGAGCGTATATTCCAGAATGAACAACTTTCTGTGTTGCTACATTACCTGTCTCTCCTTCTCTCACACATGCACCACACAGCAAAAACCCTTTTGGGACAAAAGCCGGTGGCACAAAACCCATTCGGGACCAAAAGCTAACCTGAGCCTCAGAGTCAGGGATGCCGAAAAATAAATTGGTGCTGCAATTATTGTAATAAGAAAGCACCAATTATCTATTGGAGACTTTCTGGAGTAAAAGATCAATTATTTATTTTCGCTCCCGTTGTAGCACCAATAATCTATTGGGCGGTGTTTAATTGGCCATACATTCTTTGATACGGGTGCCCTCGCTGTGTACCAATTTTGCTGCACCAATAATTTTGTTTTTGAGCTGAGGAAGTTCAATAATCTATTTTGGTCTAGTCAGCTCTCTAGCCCAATTATTTATTTTCTGCTTTGATTAGCAATAGATAAAAATGCAATATTCGGCATCCCTGCTCAGAGTGGCTCTTAACCACTGTCACGCGTGCCATGCCATGGCACTAGAAATTGAGCCATGGCATGGCATGGTTACGAATAGAATTGCCCTGCCATTGTGCCATCATGAAAACTATTTTTAGATCATACATTGTTGAAGATAAAAGGAGCATGGCACATGGCAATTGCCCTTTGCCATGGCACTTGCAAATGCCATCCGTGGCACTTCCTGTCATTTTATTTACTTTAAACTCTAGCCCTAGCAAGCGCTCATCCAATCGGATCAAAGCATTTCGTGCCATGGCATGGCATGGCGTGGTTAAGAGCGACCCGCAACCTGTGAACCAGTACATCGCAACAAATACGAAGTTTAACCATTTTAACCCGAGCTTTTATTCTGTATGATACAGAGTACGAATCGTCTTATATTAAGTAAACAGCGACTCGCACCAAAATAATTCCGCTACAAGCCTTCACTTAGACACGTGAAATCATTCGTACAGAACGTAACATAAATGCCGACAAAGTGGGTAAACAGTGACAATTTATCCAACATCTGGAGCTATAACAAATTTCTATTGACCCTGCTATCATGCAATCATCACAAGTTCATTCCAAAAGGTATTTCTCGTTAAAACGGTTTCATAATGGCCTTTGGCGCCAAATGAAAAATGGTTGGCGCGAGGTTGTGTTATCCAGAGGAAACATTTGGTCAGTTCCTAACTAACGTCTTAGTGAGAAGGACCTGGCCAAATTATTCCTGCGCTTGTTTCCGACTACGCCTCCGCGTCTGCGGTACGTTTCCGCTTTCTGAATCGAATACGACGTCGCTGCACTGGTGGGATAGCGGTGCCATCGTTCCACGTTTGGTGCCATATTTGTGAGCATGTCAGCATGTTGCCCGTTTCTAGTCTTCTTACTCGGATGCAAAGCGGTACGTGCCCTCCCATTGCATCGCTACAACGCGG